CAAAGTCTTAACCACCGAACTGCGAGGGAAGTCCCTACCTGGTATTTTTATCCATCCTTTTACTTTCAACCTATTTCTAACTTTGAATTTAAACTGTGTCTCCTCTGGGCAGTATGTAGTCAATCTTGTTTTTTATTTTTTAATCCAGTTTGACATCTCTGCCTTTTGATTGGATTGTTTAATTCACTCACATTTGTTACTGATACAGTTTTCATTATACTTTTTGCTACTGATATAGTTAGATGTACATCTGCCATTTTAATTTTTGTTTTCTCATCCTTTTTCTTCTTCTTTATTCCTCCTTTAAGGTTTTCTTTTGCATTAAGAGTAACATTTTATTTCCTTTAACTATATTTTTATGAGTTATTTTCTTAGTGGTTTCTCTAGGGTTTATCATATATATCTTAATTTATCAAAACCGACAATATTAACTTAATTTCAGTGAGATATAGAAACATTATTCTTAACATATCTATTTCTTATTCCCCTTTAGGGGGCTTTTATTGTTGTACCTATTACATCTACATATATATTACAACACCAACAATATAGTGTTATATATGTGCCATAATATAATTTCATGTCTGTTCAAGAAACTGAGAAATGAAAGAAAGTATACTTACAGAGTTTGATATAGTCACATTCTTATTTACCATTTCTGGTTCTCTTTATTTGTTCCTGTGGATTCAAATTGTGATCTAGTGTCTTTTTCTCATTTCAGTACAGCTTTATTCCCACCTGCTTTCATTGCACTGTCCTGTTAGATGGTTTACATTTCTGTACATTTTAGGTCTAACAATTGCTTTTTACAATTAAGAGTAGAAAGGAGGGGAAATATGCATTTGCATTTTCTTTCATAATTACTTTTACCAGTGTTGTTTTTTCACGAAGGGGGTTCATATTACGGCCTGCAGTCACTTGCTTTCAGCCTTAAGAACTCCCTCTATTGATTCTAGTACGGTGAGTCTGCTGGCAACACGTGGTCTCAGCTTTTACTGAAGACTGTCTTTACGTGCCTTCGTTTGTGAAGGCTTTGCGGGACGTCGGATTGCTCCTTGCTCTCCAGCACTCCGGCTGCGCCGCGCCACCGTCTCCTGCCTCCGTTGTTTCTGGACGTCAGGCGCGAGTCTCAGTGGGACTCCTCTCCTGCTGCTCTCAGATTTCCCCCTTGCCTTTGTCTCCACGTCTTCACTGCGATGCGATGCGTCTCTGTGTTTCCTGCTTGCGAGTCACTGAGCTCCTGAGATGTAGACATACTGTCCTCATCCCTGGGGTGTTTCCAGCCGTTATTTCCTTGGAGCTTATTTTCCGCTCCCTTCCCCCCTCTCCTGGTACGCCCACTACGTGTACATTTATGCAGAACGGTGCACGCTTCTCTGATGCTCTGTCCATTTCTCTCCACTCACTTTGTGTTTCGTCCTTTGGGTTGCAAAGTCTCTGTCAGTCTAATGTCCACCTCACTGATTCTTTCAAATGTGTTGGTCCCTCCAGTGAATTTTTCATTTTGGTAAACACTTTCCAATTCCAGAGTTTCCGTTTGCCTATTTTTTATAATTTCTGCATCTTTATTGACATTGTTTGATGAGATGTTCTCATCACAGCTCCTCTGTGTCCTCAAGTAGAGCTTCTCAGTCCTCTGGCCGTACTTGGAACAGCTGCGTGGGAGACTGGATTGACTTTGGTCTCTAGCTCGCTCACAGTCTCTGCATTCCGATTTTCTTCTGTGGACGAGTCATACTTCCCCGTTTCTTCCCGTGGCTTGTCTTTTGTTTTAAGGGGACATTCTAGGTAATACGTGGCAGCAAATCTGGATGCAGATTTCTTTCCTCTCCTGCTGGGGCTTCGTGTGTGCGTGTGAGCGCACTTGTCCGTTTGTCCAGTGGCTTGGCTACACTCTTTTAATGAAATTGGGGTCTCCTTTCCCACCCCCACGCCCACAATGTGAGGCTCGGGCATGAGCAGTCACCCCGGGATGCCAGTGGTTTTAGCAGGGCTCTCTCTGGCCTTCTCTTCCTCTGATCTCTCTGTGCAGCTGTCTGTCTCCTTGTGTCACCGTTGGCCGTCAGGCTCCACTGATTACATGGACTGCGCTCTTCTTTCTGACAGTACCTGGACCAGAAACTGCTCCTCACTTTCATCTAATTAAAAATCATGGACAGTTTGAGGCACGGCTTTGAGGTTTTTCCTCACATCAGGAAGGATCTTGGAAGCTCTCTCTTTCCAATTCCTTCTAATAAACCAGTTGGCCCACTGGTTAACTTGATCTCTCAGAGCTACCAGACCTTCTTAATTCCCTACCACCAAGTCTCCATTCCTGGAGAAGGACATGGCACCCCACTTCAGTCCTCTTGCCTGGAAAATCCCATGAGCAGAGGAGTCTGGTAGGCTTACCATCTATGGGGTCGCGAAGAGTCGAAGAGTCTGACATGACTGAGACTTTACTTCCTTAGTTCAATCGCTCAGTCATGTCCGACTCTTTGCAACCCCATGAATCGCAGCACGCCAGGCCAGGCCTCCCTGTCAATCACAAACTCCCGGAGTTTACTCAAACTCATGCCCATCGAGTCAGTGATGCCATCCAGCCATCTCATCCTCTGTCGTCCCCTTCTTCTCCTGCCCCCAATCACTCCCAGCATCAGGGTCTTTTCCAGTGAGTCAACTCGTTGCATGAGGTGGCCAAAGTATTGGAGTTTCAGCTTCAGCATCAGTCCTTCCAATGAACACCCAGGACTGATCTCCTTTAGGATGAACTGGTTGGATCTCCTTGCAGTCCAAGGGACTCTCAAGAGTCTTCTCC